AACAACTGCGTTTGATATTGCAAGCTGTGATATCGCAACTCGGAATATCAAGCTAACAAAACTCACCTGCTGCAAATTTCAGGTATTTCCCAATCATGTCGGCCATACATTCGTACTGCAAACAGAAATTTAAGCTGAGGTTGTTGCATCATAGAAAATCAAGCACCACGTGCGGCCAGCAAGCCGCACTTTGATCATCACTGATCTAACCCAACAAACAATTTGCGCTGATTAAAGGCTGAATACGACATGTTTTAGCTGAAGAAGCACATTTTTGTCTAAATAAGCTCTTATTCTGCTTCCAATTGGGTATAACTTTCAATAATCCTCTCGATGATTTCTAAAAAATCCTCTCCATAATTCTTAGTAAAAATTACCATTTGAAATATTCCTTGGAATTCAACTCAGAATTGTATCGGAAATCTCAATATTTACGGGGTGAATTTAAGTATTTTAGTTCCCGGTGTTAAAAAACAACTAGATTTGATGGAAAATAATTAAACTTATTTTTTTTAAATCTTACTCGTAAAAAAAATAAACATTTTTTAATCCTGTACATATAAAAATCAAGATTTCATAACAACCGACTAATATCGAGATCTAAAGGATGAAAAATAATTTTGGACCTTGGACTTCAAAATATTTCTACGATTCTAGAGTTTTGGTTTTATCATACTGTTTTTGACCATGAATAAGATTTGGTCTTTGAAACTTCGATAAAATTTGTTATGTTACTTTGGGTATTTCACCATATTTAACTGTTTCTGTTAAACCAGGAAAACTATGTTAGACAACCGGGAATTTAAGTTCCTCAATCCGGTGGCCACCCTGTATCTAGATCTGGCCAATAAAGGTCTTGGGGACATAATTAGGCCGACAATAATCTTGATATGACCACCAATCATCTTAATTTTGAATTCTCATGTGATTTGATAAGCCATATGATGGCTCGAGTCAGAAACTGGCCACTTAAAACCGCCAAAATGGACTAAAAATGCCAAAATAGCATACAAATGTCAAATTAATCATAAAACGCCTAAATGGTTAAAAATAGCATACACACGAAAAACCATAAATATCTTCGAAAACGTCAAAATGATCATTCAAATTACAAATGGACTTGGAAACGCCAAAATGGCCTCAAATCGCAAAAAAAAAACAAACGTTAATCGCAAAAAATCCAAAAACACAAAACGCTAAAAAAAAAGAAGGGTCTGTGCCTAGGGGCTTGACGTAGAATCACTAGGGCACGGAACAAATGTGAAGAAAATTTAGTTCTTTTAATTGATCGATCATCTATTATCTTAACTCTTTCCGTTTTTGATTTGTAGGCGTACCAAATTTGTAGTATTTTTTTTTTTTTTCAAAGAGAAAGTTGATGAAGAGAATCGATCAAAATCACTTCCTGCATCCAAGTTTGATTACAAGATTACAACTCTGGAGAGCATTTTGTGGGGGCATGTGGTTCTGAATATGGACCAACAGGCAGATAAATTATATTCTAACTTTTTACTGTAATAAGTTTGTTCGCCCAGAAAAGGGCCGTTTTGTTGCCAAAGTTGTTGATGATTTAACCTCCGAAACTGTACAGAATTCGTCTGTCGCTTCAAAGCGTAGACGACATCGATGGCCGCTTACGCTTGGCGTGTTCAGTATAGGTGACAGCTTCAGCACACCTCGTAGATCAGACCGGAGACACGTTTGACACCGCCACGGCGAGCCAGACGACTGCTTTCGCTGCTTCTGCTGTCTGCTCATCACGGCGTCCGAAGCGAAAATGAGTCGAGGCTAGACAGCACCGTTGAGCGACAGTGAAAAAATCAACACTTTTTTTGTACTTTGGATAATGCTTGACATTACCACTTTTTCAATAGTTTCTTGTTGAAAATCATCAGTTTAAAGCATTGCGTAGACATATTTCTGATCGATTGGTGATAAAATTATTGAAATTGGTTCAGGGGCAGCTGACTTATTAATGTTTAAAATCTTTCATAAATTTGTTTCATGTTCCATTTTTGGTTTTCACAAAGTGTACCCCAGTATAGAAATTTAAGACGTAGCCCTACGTCAAAAACAAAACCTAAATGATAAATAGAGTGCACTAAGTACGACAAAGTTGGCCATAAATCACAAAAATGGCAATGAAAGTTCTTGAAATCGTTTTGAAGCGTCAACATATGTGTGGCTATTGAAGATAACTAAACAGATTTTACTAAACCTTCGAAGCGGACTGTTTATGAGAGATTCCGTAAGGCAATTTGCTTTATTATAAGCAGCTGAAGCAAAAAATCTATGAACGATTAAACACAAAATAAATATACAGTGTAATTTGGATTAATCAAAGGGACGATGCAATTATTATGCCACGCTAAATTGAGGAATAATTAACCCCCTCTCCCTTCTTTACTGACGTTTTTCGTAATGCATTGCTTGTCATAAAATCATAAACTCCCCCTCCCCCCTTAGGGCGTGACATAATATGTGCATCACTCCAAACATGATTTCAAATTCAAATAAATATTCGATACAATTATAAAAACGTTAAATTGCCAGGATTCCTGCGACCCACAGATTGAGAAACGCTTATTAACTTATTAACGAATTTTTAATTAAATCCATTTAGAACTATAAAAATTTGAAGCATTCTGGAACCGATTGTTATATGAATATGGCTATAAATTACGTTTTAAAAGTTGGTTCAATAGATTAAAACGCCCCGGGCCAGTGAAAAGACCAGAAATGCGGCATCACAAACACATCTAATCATGCAATCTTCGACACACCTCAATCGTGTGCTCGCTCAGGCAAAAGATAACGAAACCTAAACCAGATCCATTGAGAAAACCCCGACTCAATTAACAAGTTCAGCAACGCAAGCCAAAACAGCGCCAATATTCCATCTACAAACAACACGGAGAGGCATCCGCGGGTGCCAAACTGTAAAAACAACCACCCGATCTACACCATTTGACAGCCTAAACAAAGAATCGTGCTTATCAGCCGTTGAACTGATCCTGAAATGTGCTAATATGCAGCTAATCAATCTAGCTTTTGTACTACGTCGTAACCTTCCTAGACTAGGGCTCGACCGTCCATTGGAAACGATTCCCGCAGAAATATACTAGACTTCCATATACAAACTTGTAATCTAGGCTGATAACTGGCGTCGGTAATTATCAACCAGGCCTAATCAGAAAGGGATCGAAACCTTTCGTTCAAGGAACAAGACGGTCGTTAGTTGGCTAGCTGCTAGAGCGTAAGCGACATACGATGACGACGTCGACTAAGCAGTTTCCGAGTGACATGCACTTTGGACTGTATCGAAAATGCACGAAAAATGCAAATTAACTGCTCCAACGAAACAAAAATATGCCTACCGACACAGAAACGCACGGTTTTGGTCGGCCAAAAGTCGCCAAAACAGTCGCCGATTGGAAGTTCTTGCTGTTGTTGTTTACCGTGGTAGGCTGCAAAAACATGGATATCGTGGATTGTTGGTAAGAATGGTAATTGCAGTTCTTGACCAAGGGTAATACATTTTTAATATAACGTAGTTTAATTACTGCAAAAAGGGGATTCGAAAATTACTATCATTTGAAAATCGCTCAGTCAGTCGAACTTTGCCCCAGGGTGCGACAATCCGACATTTTTTGGTGTAAGTGGACTTTAACATGTCCGTATAATATAAATAAAGTAGATAACATTAGGATGTGGTGTACATCCAGCAGGGATATCTTTATGGTGTGTGATGAGAAGCATATGAACGACCAATAATAATTGTAAATACTCATCAAACCGCAGTCGGAAATGTAAACAGAAGGGCTACTTTGGATACGTGATAAATTTTCAAATGTTTTGCTAAATAAATTGACAAAACCAAGCGATATCATAACCTCCACCCAAAAACAAACAACTTGTACCTACAAAACTCATAGTCAGATCAGTAAAATTACTGTTTGACAGAACATTAAAAAAAATCATGAATTTTTGTTTTACCTGGCAATGATATTGCTATAAACTATTTTCACATGGAATATCCAGCACTACTGTATTACGAATGGGAATCGATAATCCCGAGAGGAGTTTGTTGATATTTTTACAACGATTTAATCGCAAATTTTTGAGAAGGTACAATTTTTGGTAAACCTTTCCGCATGATTCTGAGAAGCGCTTAAAGATATTTGCTGGTGATTTTATATGCTCGAGTATACTGCAGTCTCAGTAGCAAGTTGTGGATAAACATTCATTCGATTCTTTATTTTACTACAAACAAATTCGAATGCGTCCAAAGTAGGCTCAAAGGTGCCCCCACAACGGTAACTGCTCAGATTTACCACATTGTTTTTGGCTAGATAGTTAGATGTGCGTAGTTCCGACTAAGCAGAAATGAAGTGAAATGCTCGTAAGGTCGACAAATTGCGCTTTTTAAATGACTTACTATTTAGATGAAAATTGCTGGTAGCGGGAATAGGAGTTACATTGAATCTAAAAGGTAGTCACTCATATAAGGCAACACTAGAATGAGCCTTTCATCTAGTATGTCACATGGTGATCTTTAACAAATATTACAAAATAAATAAGTATAAGACGGTCGGAAATATAGATGAATTCATGAAAGCAGGAAAACTGAAGCACGAGAATCGAGCAAACCTCATAAATCGAATCTCAAATATGCGTAGCGGCCGGCCGTTATATTTCGGTGTATCTCACTCTAAAAATATATAACATTGCTTTCACATTCTCTGGCCTAAAAAAAAAACAATTTGGTTGCGTCTAGAAGTTTGATGACTTGAGATGGGTGGAATACGAAAACGGAAAAAGAACGAGTACGTGCGGGATCTTTTAGATGCGAAAAAATAATAATTACGAACTACATACGTAACCATTTTGATCGGGACAGGAAAATACAGAGTGCTATATTTACAAACAAACCTACCTACCACTGACGATGACAACAATCACTAAGCTGAAATGTTTTTGTTTTCGTTTATCCCGTGCAGATCCGCGAACAATGTCAGGAACTGATACTGACAGACAAACAGATCGAGGAGATCATGCGGCGGTTGATTAAGGAGATCAACCGTGGCCTAGATAAAGATACACAGCCCGAGGCAGATATCAAATGTTTCGTTACTTACGTGCAGGATCTACCAAATGGAAAAGGTAAGCGAAATTAATACATATACGATAAGCGAGAAAGAGGTCTTACCACTGTCCTTCTAACTATTATTGCAGAAAAAGGCAAATTCCTAGCGCTCGATCTGGGCGGTACCAACTTCCGAGTGCTGCTGATTCACCTCAAGGATGAAAATGACTTCGAGATGCTGTCGAAAATCTACGCCATTCCACAGAGTATTATGCTTGGCAGTGGGGAACAACTGTTTGACCACATTGCAGAATGTTTAGCAAATTTCATGAAGGTGGGTGCGCAATATGAAATTCTATCAATGAATATTTGACAGCCAAAACTATTCCCATTATTTTCCACAGGAACATTCTGTCTACGAAGAAAAACTACCTCTAGGCTTCACATTCTCATTCCCGCTAACACAGCTCGGACTGACCAAAGGTATTCTGGCCCGATGGACGAAGGGTTTCAACTGCTCCGGTGTCGTCGGTGAAGATGTCGTCCAGCTCCTAAAAGACGCCATCGCTAGACGAGGGGTAAGTTTGAACGGGTTCCCTTTCAATGTAGCTTCTAAAATGAGCAAACAAAAAATGTGCTGATAGAAAGCCACAAGCCCAACTGTATTAAATCTTGCAACTTCGCTGACCAGAATAGGGTTTTTACGCATTTGACAGTAGAATCGTTGAAATCATAAGCAAAATTTTCTCTTTCCATTTTTTCCCTCCGTGCTATCATCGAATTGGCGACAATTGGAAATATAACAATCAAAATCATAAAATTCCATCAAATTTATCAACGCGGGCGTGTGCAAAATCACCTCTTCTGAAACCGATTCGCGTGATTCATATAAAACAACAAAATCGCACATACGTCTATCATTCTGCGTATCGCCATACTTCTCGGCATCTAACCGATCCAACGATATCATCGCCATCCGACTTCAATCTACTACACCCCCACGTACTTAGGACGTCAACCTATTAGTGATGGCAATCTTGAATGACTCGACTGGAACGCTAATGTCGTGTGCGCATAGCAATCGCAATTGTCGAATTGGAGTGATAATTGGTAAGACTTTCCTCACCAGATGAAGGCGGCACTTTGAGTCGATTTTCAATATTGGAGGGCCATTTTACAAGAGTTAGATTAGAGCCGATTACCTTCTCCAATAAAATCGATTGAATGTGACCGACCGACTGACAAATTCCAAATTCTATATCCCAACTGTTGAACATATTTCTTCCCCGAGCATAGTTCAAGTCATCCCAGTCTTCAGAGCCAACCTTGAACATATTTCTTCCTTTTCCATGTAGTTAAATTACAGGTATCTTTTATGATTTTGTTTCCGTTCCTTTCCCTCTGGTAAAATTTCAGCCTCCGCTAGTATGTCAACACACTGTTGCGAAAGCAATTCATTAACTATTAGTTTAAGGTCCCGTGACGATTCCCGAGAATGTGGCATCCACAAGTGCATCAAATGGAACGATATTGCATTCTATTTCCTCATTTGCATGACGCACACACATCTATCAAAAGAAGCATGTATTGCAATATACCGTTACGAGAGGCAATCAATTTAGCTTAAATAGTTGAACGAATCAAAAGTTCATTTTACGGACATGATTCTCCGCCACGTCACATCCACACAATTTGCGACCGTTTCCAGCAATTAATTGGGTGAATAGGTAGCGCCACCGGTTCAAAAATCCCGACAGAATATAGACATATGTAACAATGATCAACTGAGGTTAAGTGGTGACAAATAAGGAGCTTTTGTTCTATGATAGGACCCAATGGTCACGTTACATCACGCGATCAGTGGTAAAATGTTTCAGATTCATTGCCCACAATAATCTTTTTCGTTGCTTAGTTATGATATATGTTCAATACTCCTTGAAGGTCTCCATAAAATATTCTAGAAGTTCTTCTTTGGAATCAAGTCGGAACTTCCCTTGGAATACCCTTGGCATTCACATCAGAATTACCTTGGACAATTAGTAAAAACTGCTACCAAATTTTCCTCAGAATTCCCTTGAACACCTGAATTTATTTTAAATTCTCCTTAACATTAATTCAAAATTCAGAATTCCCCGTTAATTCTCTCGAGAAACTCCACGACATTCTCCTTCTCCTTCATAATTCACCTTCTGTTTCAAAATTTCCCTGGGATTCTTCTCACAATCCATGTAGAAATCTCTTCAAAATCACCATGGAATTGTGCTTAGAATTCATTGAAATTATCCTCACAGTTTCTTTGGAATTCTTCTCAAAATCAGCTTGAAATTCAAGCTAGAACTTCCATTGCAATTCTTCTTAGAAATCCTTTGCAAATCACCTCTGAAGTACATAGGAGTACACCTCAAAATTAACGTGTAATTGTAACTAGTTAGAACTTAAAAAAAATGCTTCTTCACATTTCTTTGGAATAATCATCAAAATTTCTTTTAAATTATCTTCAAAATTTCTTTTAAATTATCTTCAAAATTCCTTAGCAATTCTCATCAAAATTATTCAAAATTACTCTCTAAATGATCTTGGAATTCTCTTCAGAGTCCCTTAGGAGTTCGTCTAAAAATTCACCTGGTAGGGTAGAGAACTACTTCGGCCTAATCGCCCATTTTGGGCCTATCGAGCAGAAAACTTCAAATAAATCCATGATTTCAGAGTTAACAAGTCAATTATGCGTTTGGTACGATACTTCAGTTAATAAGCTACGGAACGAAGTCAATGTGAACGCATGATATGAAGGTTTACACCCATTATTTCCAAAAACAAAAGAAGCGCTCCGACCGAATCAATTTTTATCTTCATCCGATAGGCAGAAGTGAATTCATTGGCGTTTCAATGCGTTAGACCGAGTTTAGAATCCGTAGGTCGAGTTTGGCGTCAAGAAGCAGTGTTAGACTTTTGACAATATCTCAACGATTGGTTTCTCTTTATCAAATATTACGGTACATACGGAATGATAAATAAATTTGGAAGTCATCAGTAATAATAACATTCCGTTTGGTGCTAAACTGCGCTAGATTAAGAAAGATTAAGTGCGGTTTGTGCTTAATAGGCCGGAAATGGGGTATTTAACCCTATCCTCCTCACAATCATTAGCGATGTTGATCTAATTTCCGTCCTACTAAGCACAACCCGCACTTTGCTTCCCTTTTTCGAACGGATTTGAATAACAAATGGAATGATTCCACCAGTGATGGCAAAAGCATTTGCAAAATGATAATTGTTTGCCCTCATGGAATAAAATATCATGTTTGAGATATTGAATTTACACACTCCTTGGAAACTGCGAGACTTCTCATCACATGTGAAATTGCAGCTGAGAGTTGACTCGATGCCGAAAAGATTCCGTTGTCCATCATTTTTTAGAAAGAGAAATAGAATAGTTTGCTATCTCTCTTTACTCTTCACCCATCAGACATGAAGTTACTGCTGCCAGCGGTGATGGAAGTTTCGGATCGCGTTCGGATGTAAAGCAAAAACGTTGAAACTAAACTCACCACTGTTTGGTGATAATCGTAGCTGGTGAGTTTTGTTAGCTTGATTGTTTATAATATCATCCGCTGCTGTTTGCTTGTTGATGTTTGTCCATGAAAATCAAGCGTGATCGTGGGAGAGATTGAGATTTTTTTTTCTCACACTGGATTCCACTATAGATGACTTTTGAACTTATTTCCCTTTGAATAAATGATCAGAAATTGTTTGTATTTTGTAAACAATATATCACTGCTTCTTGATTTCACATTCGTCCTACGAATTTCAATTCCGTCCACACTCACTGAAATACCATTGGATTTTCTTCGTCATACTGGTGAAGGCTGGAAAAATGGGATTCGCTAGGAGTGCTTCTTTTGTTTTGAGAACAATGGATGCAAATATTCATACTTTGTGCTCTTGTAGGCTTTGTGAAGTAGCTTTTGAACTGACGTATAGGAACCAGGCATGGTAAATCATTTGCATTCATTTTGTGCATTCATTTACATTCTTTTGCCCCTAACTTTTTTCATCAACAGAATTCCGCAAAATGTTGTATGGAGCTTTTGTAGATTTTGCTATTAGCGTAACAACTCAAATCCGTATCTCTTATGCATGACATACCAGAGCAAACGGAATCCACTACTGTTTTTCAGTGAATATATTTTACATTCACTGAAAAACAGTAACGAGTTCTGCCCGGTCTATTTCGTGATGCATAAGAGATACAGATTTGATTACAGGTAAAAGTTGTAGCTTATAACAAAACCTACTAAAGCTCTATACATCATTTTGTGGAATGCTATTGATGAAAAAAGTTAGAGGCAAATGAATGTAAATGAATGCATTAAATGAATGTAAATGATTGTCCATGCCTGATAGGAACAAACGTATTATTGATTTGTGTACGGTGAAATCGTTTTTAATATATAGAACAGAAATGGGTGATTACGACGAAGTAGTGCTCTAATCTATAGATTTTTTCACAGAATCGCTTTGAAAATTACTCTGAACGTAGGTATCCGATGTGTCTCTTAAAATTTAGTTCACTATTTTTTTGAAATTATTCTCAGATTCACCTTAGAAATCAAATTAGAGCTTCCTTTTGAATTGCTTAGGAATTTTCCTCAAAGTTCATAAACAATTCTCCTTAGAATTCACCTAAAAATTGTGGAAAATTTCTTTAGAATGTTATGACAATTGTTCACACTAGAATTCCATTTATAAATATACTACTTGAAATTTCTGAATGCTGGCTCTATTGATTTGATTTGATTTGATAGAATCTTGTTAGTGCTTTGGAAATTTCCTAAGGACCGGAATCTTGGGGCCTCCCTTAGCTCAGTCGGTAAAGGCGCTATTACTGATCGTTAAATGTGCAGTTAAAAATTACAAAATATTTTTATCTGTGCAGCCAATCATTAGCCAGCACTACCACATACCGTTTTTTAGCTCACATTGCTTTAATACTGTACACCAGCGGTTATCAAACTTTTTTCGATTGTGACCTACATTGAAACATATTATAAATTAGAGACCCACCAATACTGAATACACAGTTTTACCTTAAAATATCCAAAATGGCTTTAAAACGCCAAAAGAATGCATTCAAACTGTGCCTCAACGGTCTGAAAACAATGAAAGCGTCAGCAATACGAATAAGCAGTAACAAAGGATAAATAAGTATTATCACTTGTACACGGAAACAAATCCGATTCCATTTTCATGAATAAAAAATCATGAAATGAAAAAAAACTTGCCATCCCTTGAAATCGCAACAATGATTCATGATTTCGGGATGGAAATTCATGATTTCATAATGTAGAGGAATCAAGACCGTTACAAGCGTTACACGTACTTGGCAAACCGTGTTCATAAGCCGCACTACATATGTAGCTCTTATACGCCTTTTGCCTTCCATCTTATACAAGTACTGTGGTCAAAGTATGGGTTTAGTGATCTCAAGGTTCTTGGTTCGAATCCAGTATGATGTTTTTTTTCAGTTCTTTTTACATTTTTTGGTTAAAAGTTAAACCTATGAATTTAGATGATTCATGATTTTGGGAATGTTTTCTGCGTTACGCAAAAGCTGCTCATGATATCATGAATATTATTGATAACACGAAAATACGCTGAGTTCATGAAATCATGAGTATTTTTTCTCATTTCGGAGATCGGATTTTTTCCCGTGTAGGGGTAAGAGGTGGGACCATCATCATCGTTTAAATCACTAGATAAAAAAGTACCTCAAATCAATGAAATTGTATTTTAAAACTGACTCCGGGTCAAAATGACCTTGCAAATATAAAACAAAGACTAATGGCCTCAAAACTCTGAAAAGGTTTTCGAGAATGTCCTGACTCTATCAAAACAATCACGAAAACGCAAAAAAAAAAACCTTACACACTAATCCAGGCTCCGTTTTTTCGGTAATTTTTGAACTGAGGAACTCTTCGAAAACAGTTTAAAAATCAGTGAAAAATTACAAATAATTTAAAAATTATTCCAAACTTGTACTGACTGTGTACAATTAACCCCAGTTAATGATAACAAATAGTCGATTTTATTGTAATATACGTGTAATGGCAATTTGATATTTAACCGACTTTTTCAGCTGTTTAAAATTCAGTGTGTAGAAACGTCAAAATATTAAAAATAGCCACAAAATAACTAAACTTGCCTTCATTGACCAAAATGGCTTAGAATACATTTGTTCTTAAAATCACTAAAACGGTCAGACAACTCTTATAACAATTTTTAAATTGAAAACTGAAATGTCAAAATGGTCCTAAAACAACACAAATGTCCCGAAAAAATGTCTTTTAATAAAGACTGTACTCGATAAAAATGCAACAGACAAAAACGATCACCGAAAATTCATTTTAAGTCGAACATTTTTGAAACCCTCAGGGAATATATAAACACATATTCGCTATATTTTTGCGAAGTTGGTTTATTCATACTCCTCTAAAATAAAGGCAAATGCCACCACCTTGGACTTGACGCTACCCATCAATTCCTGTGCAACACTTGTGTTATCTTTCTTACACACTTAAATCACACCAAGATCTTCCCTGTTTTCCGGAGCCTACCCTTCGTAATCGCCCAGAATTTTTCTATTGGGCGAAGTTCTGTCAAGTTTGGCGGATTTGCCGCCTTCGACACAAAACAACATCGTTGGCTTCGTACCACTCCATCGCCGGTTTCATGTAATGGCACGATGCCAGAACAGAGTGTCACCTTCATGGAACCGGAGGAAGGACAGCAGCCACTTCTGGAGGCAATCTTCTTTATATATTTGGCCGTTGATGGTGCTGATCGTTATGTACGGCTTGCTGAATTTGCTGCACCCACAGATCGCCTGCCACACTAAGTACTTCTTGGCAAATTTATCGACCTTCTTCTTCCGGAACCTCTCCGGAACGTCCAAGCGGGACTTGCCGACGAAAAACTCCAGGCCAGGGATCTGCTTGGCGTCCGCTTTATTGTACGTCTCGTCGTCCATTACGATTCATTTCGGCTGCACCAAACACTCGCGGTACGGCTTCCTGGAGCGGGATTTGGCCACCGTATTCTGTTTATCGGTTCGGTTAGGCATCTTCCTTACCTTGAAGACATGAAATCCGGCCCGCCAGACGAACCAGACAGAAGAATTGACCTTCTTGGTCACGTCCCGAATCGAAAGGTTCGGATTGCGCTTGAAGTAATCCCTCACCTTCCTTGTGTTAACGGGGTCGGTCATCTTCGCTTTTCTTCCGCTGCCAACTCGCCGCTGGGTCGTATGGGTCTCTTTAGACGATTTTACCACACGGGACACGGTCGAATTGTCGATTCCAAACTGTTTCGCGATCAGTCCCACACCTGGATTTTCCACGACCGTTCCCATCATTTTTTGTCGAAGCACTTCTTGCTTGGAAGCCATCTCGATAACCACTTGACTGATTGTGACGAGATTTTGCACATGTAAACATTACACTCTAAAATAGTTTTACTCAAAATTTCATCCATTTTTACCAATGCAATAAAAATATATACACAAAAGTGTTGCATTTTTTTCGAGTACAATCTTTATTGATTTCGCCAAAATGGCATGACAACGGTTGAATAGTGTTGAACTAAATCTTTTAGATTTTTTTAAATAGTAATAGCAATTATTGGGAGAAGAAAGTATTTAAGAAAGTGTGATTCAATCAATTTAATTTGTTCGAAAAGTTGTTTAAATTTTCGCTAATATTTTATAATTTGCAATTCCAGCCGTTTTAACAAGAAAAAATTTATTTAGTCTAGTCTAGTCTACACATACACAGCCAGTACTTGAAAGAATCCTGGAAAATGATACATCTATCATTTTTCTTGTCATTATTAATGCCTGCTGCACATCAAGGATGTGAAACAAACAATAAAGCGGCCAGGCCTACTGTGTAGCGTTAAGTTAATTTTTGTGGAAGTGAATGTTTACCATGTCTACTTAATAAGTATAGACAGTGGTTAACATTTAATCCACAGGTAATCAAAGAGCGGGGACATACCGTACCAACCGCTCCGTATGCAGGATTTGAAAATAGGCTATATAAATCGTTGGGAGTGACAGAGCTAAGAAAGTTAATGTACACTCCTTGATTGTCCGATCTCCTGGGATGGAACACAGGTATTTACCCCTTGTGTTCGAGCGTACAGTCCTCCCTCCGTACAAGCGTGGACGGCACCGCCAACCCACTGCCATCCCTCAATCGATCCAGCCGACCTCAGTCGAAGGACAACAGAGAGCGGTGTGCGGACGTAACCTATACGGAGGGAATGCTGTATTCGCCTAGGTTATAGCGCCCTTGCTCGCTACCATTTTCTTCTAGCGGTTGGGACCTGAGCACTAACTCTTGTCCTAGCCCTATATGGCATATGGTTATAGCGCCATTACTCGCTTTCTGAAAAGAGAAGAAGGGAAGGGAAGGAGAGGAAAAGGACTTGGGAAAAGGAAATGCGGAATTCCTTTCCTCATTAGTATTTGTATCGTCAACTTTTATGAAAACTATATAAATCATTCTTCCTTGGTCAGAGGTATTATTACGACATTTGAATAAGATTGTCTTATCATTTCCCTAATAAAAATAACCATAAAAGAGAGCTTAACGACGTGTTCGGGGTATCATCCAAACCCTATGTGGGATGGTTTACCTATCCGAGATACAGTTCGTTTATGGTATTTATTCAATTATCCAATATAAATCGGTAACACTGTCCTGCAACCGATGTAGGAAGCACCAAAGAATATATATAGACAAATCTCAAAAACACAGTTTTAACTGATAGTACTTTATAAACATCAAACTGTCCAATATTGGATCCTGCCAATTATTAGCACCAGAATAAATTGCAACGGACTCACCAAATTGATCCATGAACGATGTCTTGTTACAGTGATCTCCATACTCAAGGGTTGGTTGACTGGGCTCGAAAATAGGTTTTCCTATTCTTAGTATCGGACAAGCGAACCAAAAATCCTGTATGGCCAATCAGTTGATTAGTCAGATGATGAAAGCACAATTGTGGCTGAATGGATTCAGGCTGCTAATCGGAGAATCTGACCCACTTGTAAGGAACACAAAGAGCCACAAAGAACAACCAATGGTGCTAGGTTCCGAGATGATCAGTGGTTTAAGAACTCTGGGGTGGCAAATAGTTAAAGGAACACTAATTACAACTTCACAAAAGTCTAGAAAAAACGGAGCAAAAATTGACCTTTTAACAAGAAAAAATTTATTTAAACCAAAAATTTGGAATATCCCAACATAATTTATAATTCAGATGAACTTTTCACGAAATTTTTAAAACATGATGAAGTTTTTTTTTAAATTTCCGTCGACCACCTTCGAGCAGACTGCGACCCACCGTTTCATAGATTGAGAAACGCTGCCGTACACTATACTACCAGAAGGGGCCTCAAATAGCCTGGTCAGTAAATGCACGGTATTAACGAGTCGAAGGCGGTGGGTTCGATTCCCGATCTGGTCCAGGAAATTTTTCGGGTTGGAAATTTTCTCGACTTCCCTGGGCATAGAGTATCATCGTGTTTGCTACACAATATACTAATTTAGGCATAGAAAGCAAAACGTTCGCTACAGAAGCGTAAAACGCCTATAAGAAGAAGAATACTAGCACACGAAAAGTCAATCTGAGGAAAGTACAAAATACACAACGTAAAGACAGCTAATACAGCCAAGCAGAGTTGTCAGAAGCTGTTACTGCTGTCCACCGAAAAACAAAATGAATTCACAAACATTGATGATGCAACATTCTTTCCTTTCGGTGAAACCCCTGCAAAACCGCATATAACTTGTTTTGCGATCGTTTTATCGAAATCAAATGAAACGATTGAGAGTCACGTACATACTCCAGCAAAAGGGGTTTTAATTGGGGAATTTCCGAAATGGGGATTTCCATAATCTACCACGAATCGTTGTTGTTTTTATTTTCGCTTGTCGGGAAATAAAATTTATTGAAGCACACATGATTTCTGCATACAACACAACCAATTACCATACCAATTCACATAAGAATTCCATACAGTAGAAGAATATGCATTTGACTTGAATTTTAGGATCAAAACTCGCATCCTCACACTAAGTTGCATGCACACGACTCAGACCAAAAACTAGACTGACACTATGGGAAACTGATTTTATTTTTTTCTGGAATCGATTGGCTAATATTGTTTGATTAAATCCGTTTTATTTTCGTCTGCCGTCGAGTTCAACGTCGGCAACGGTAGACTTTGCACAGACATGGAACGAAGCATTTCAGAGGTTAACAACAACACATGACATCAAACGCGATGCCATCGGCAAATAGTTTCTTATCATCGGACGATGTTCAATTACTTTATATTCACATTCCATTCACTAACATCGACAGACATTTCATTCTGAAAAAGTAACCGTAAGTGGCTTAGTTACTTTTAGTAATCAGCATAATCAGCTCATCATCGGTCATCGTCCGTTATAGTGCACGATTAATTTACGAATCTTGTTTCCTTTTTCTTTTTCTTTCCTCCTCGATGAAATAAATCTGTAAATATATATATTCTTGCACGATTGCTCTTGTGTCGAAAATATAAAACTATGATCATCGCTCGCTTTCACCCACGAATGATGTCTTGTCTTGCGTATTGAACGAAAACCATTTGCCGATCACAGGATGTTCAAATCGAAATCTGTGCCATTCTCAACGATACCACCGGTACGCTGATGTCCTGTGCCTGGAAGAATCACAACTGTAGGATCGGATTGATCGTCGGTATGTAGGATAACAGTTTTCGGATATTGAGTTCCACGTGTTCCTAACCACCTAACCCTGGTGAAGGGAATAACAAGATAGCAAGCTCGCAGCTGTGCGAGTTTGCTTATCGATGTGCGCGTGTATTGTGTACCTTCATGTGCTAACAACAAGTGTCCTACATCTAACCGATCGTGATTCAGATGTTTCGACATCTTTAATTGGTTATTCCCGAATTGGTGCAGGGTTTGAAAATCTCTTTCGAAATTAGTTGCCCTAAAAATCTGCTTGCTTTCACATTCCTTTTCATTCACATTTTTGTGTTCTTCCCGATCCATATTTCATAATGCACTTTTCTTCTGAATCCTATCCACCAATGTCATTCAATATGGTAATAAAATTCTAACTAATCATTTCTGTCATATTTTCCCATCATTGTAACAACAATAGGCACCGGCAGCAATGCGTGCTACGTGGAGACGGTCGAAAACTGCGATCTGTTCGATGGACCGAAAGATTCGAAAAAGAAACACGTCCTAATCAACACCGAATGGGGTGCGTTCGGCGATAACGGTGCGCTCGATTTTGTGAGGACAGAGTACGACCGGGAGATAGATCACTTCAGTATAAACCCGGGAAGTCAAACGTGAGTATCCTGTGTTTATCTTAATTAATTAGAATAAAAAATTCAGGGCAGCTGAGTCAGTGAAAAGTATGCCGACTCCGACTCCTCAAAATTATGTCTACCGACTCCGACTCCGACTCCTTGACAGTATATTTATAGAAAATAATTGCTTTTTTGTGATGTAAGAAATGTCACCGAAAAAAGTGCACGCACACAAACATCTGTAACATTTTAACCATGAAATGCCAGTTTTTGTTTGGCTTGAAAGTGTTTAAATGTCAAATGACGAATCGGTTCGTGAACTCCAATTTGCATGAAACTTTGATAAATTGTGTATAATGGACAATCAGTCTGATTTGCACTAAAATTCGGTCATAACTATACCTAGAATATCGCGAACAAAGAAAAGAAAATTGGAGTATTCGATGTTTGTCAATAAATCATAGCTATTTTTTAACGACTTTGTCTCAGACGTCATTTTGATTAGAAGTGACGTTTCCTTGCTATGATTTATAAAAACACGCAATTTTGAAAAATCCGGAATGCATGATTCAGGACTGGTAGTGGGTTTGTAATGTAATAGTAGTGACTTTAGTGACTAAAATAACTGAAATAGTGATCAAATAGTGACTATAGAACAATAAAAAAGTGACCAATGGTGACATTTATTGGATTAAAAACATGGTTCCAATCGATTGCGACCTACTTAGAAAATTTGTATAAACTCACAATTACTACCCTTCACGAGCCTTTATCATGCTCCTTTGTAATTAAAAAAAAAATGTTTAAGGATCCCATGAATTTAATCGCAAAATAATATTATTTGATTTTTATGGTAACTTTATTAATTGAATAAGTCCAAATAGTCCATTTCTTCATTTTACACTAATTTTTCAAAATCGAACTATATACTAAGATGATTTTAGATCCAGAGGCACAGAGAACATTGTTCAAAGTCTAGAACTAATAACACTAGACAATAAATTTAATGATCTTCGGAACTCTCGGATATAGGAATTTTTATATTTTCATAACTCTGGGACCCATACAACTTTGCTTGATAGCAGTCTAAGAAAAATCTAATACCTAATTCTGGAACGGGGAAAGTTTTCTGCATCCGCCTAGGACTTCATATCTCATACACCAAGAGCGCGTTGGTCCTCTGCTCGTGGCCGTACAGGGCCACCGGTCTAATCAGCGTCTTGTAGACAGTCAAATTCGTGTGGCGGCGAATTTTATTCGACCGGAGCGTCCTCCGGAGTCCAAAGTAGGCACGATTCCCTGCCATAATGCGTCTTTGAATTTCTCTGCTGGTGTCATTTTCGGCGGTCACCAGTGAGCCCCACCACACGAACTCATCGAGCACCTCGATTTCGTCACCGTCAATCTGAACTCGGGTGGGAGGCTAACATTGCCTTCCCTAGAACCTCTTCCTTTCATGTATTTTGTCTTTGATGCGTTGATGGCAAGTCCAATCCGCCTAGCTTCAGCCTTCAGTCTGCTGTACGTTTTCGCCACTGTCTCAAAGCTCCGTGCCATGATGTCAACGTCATCGCCGAAGCCAATAAGACTTCCTGAAGATCGTGCCACTCGTGTCTATCCCAGCTCTTCTGATCACACCTTCTAACGCGATGTTGTCGTAACCCCCTTCGAGATTCAAAGGGACTCGAGAGTGTCCCCGATACTCGAACAACGCACATCACTCGATCCATCGTCGCCTTGACCAATCGCGTTAGTTTATCCGGAAATCCGTACTCGTGCATAATCTGCCATAGCTGATCCCGATCGATTGTGTCGTATGCGAATTTAAAATCGATGAACAAATGATGTGTGGGCACGTTGTATTCGCGGCATTTCTGCAGACCTGTCGCGAAAATTTGATCCGTGGTAGCGCGGGCACCCATGAATCCCGCCTGGTATTGCCCCACGAACTATCTTGCAAATGGTGACAGACGGCGGCATAGCATTTGGGAGAGTACCTTGTACTTCATATCTTAGCTTTCGATACGTATAAAACGTTTAATGATCTGGAACATAGAAATTCGTTTTTCTAAAATCTGGACTTAAACATTTTGTATCCAAGTCCAGACAAATTCAATGCAATGTAATGGACTAAAGAAAAGAATTCAAGATTCTGTGACATGACTTTTGTTTCTCGATGTTTGGACAAATATTTTTCAAAATTCTTAATGCTTAGAGCATGAACATTTTCCGACACCTAAGGATTGTCAAATTTCCAAGATCACGACGTGGGATCAGGTTTCGAAATTTCAAAATTTGAAATATTTTTAAAAGTATCAGTTACATGTAAATCTCTCAAAAATATAAGGCCGAATTCTACTGGACCGAGTGGGTCATTGCCGATTGTTATTAAGTGATAGATTGGAAGACCCAGTTTTAACACTTTTGTGAACTTTTCGAGATTCACTATGTTAAAGATCTCAGATTAAATCTTGAACTAAGATAACAGTTTAGTATTATAGTACATTAAATAATTATCTGGAGAATTTGAAAGAGAATGTCAAATGTATTTTGATGGAATAAGTGGTCCTCTACAATTCACTCTCTATAGGAATTAATAAGAATATTGTCAGGAAAACTAAAGGGGAATTCCGAAATAGTTTTTATGATACAACCGGAATTATGAGTAGCAATTCTGAAGTAATTCTGAAAAACTTGACACTACCACTATATTAATGATTACATACGGCTGAAAATCTCTTAAAATTTAATAAATCAATCAATCAATCAGATTATTCTGAGAAGAGCATGGACGTGGACACCTGGTGTCATCAGCCAGCTCATCGGCCTGAAAGGTCACATCACACATTTTGTACGAAATTTCCTCCTTGATCGTACCTTCCAGGTGACTGTCGGGAACACTCGCTCGGATCCGTTCCCCGAGGAAACTGGAGTGCCCCAGGGATCCGTCATAGCGGTAACGCTATTCCTGGTGGCAATCAACGGGGTATTCAACCGATTGCCCAAGAACGACGGGACGAACGATGAGTGTACGGTGCCATATCTGTCACTCGGGCCATATGATTCGAGGACCACCGATCACCATCCAAGATCATCCGATTCCGCTCAAGAAAACAGTGCGTGTTCTGGGGGTAGTACTGGATCGCACCCTAAGCTTCAACCAGCACTTCAGGATGGTGAAAGAAAACTGTCGTAGCCGCATCAACATAGTCAGGACAATATCCCGCCCGCATCGCTCCAGCAACCGTGAGATCCGCCTTCGTGTCGCTCGGGCTGTTATCGACAGTCGACTTTTCTACGGCCTCGAAATAACCTGCTTAGCCACCGAGAAGCTCACCCACATCCTCGATCCGGTATACAATACCTACGTACGCATCGTATCCGGCCTTCACCCTTCCACGCCTGCAGACGCCGCATGTGTGGAAATCGGAATCCTCCCTTTCCGCTATCGATCTGCTGCAGCCATTGCTACGAAAGCCGCTGTCCTCGCTGCTAAGACATCCGGGAACGAAAGGGTCTTTCTCTTGAACGAGGGGAACAGAACCCTCCACACTGCAACCAACCGTGGCCTCCCCCAGGTGGCCAGGGTCCACTGGCATGGAGAGAAGAGTTGGCAATCAAACGTCGTCAAAATAGATAAGCGGATTAAGAGTGGATTCCAAGCCGGAGATAACTCTGTAGCTTTGAGACGTTCTGTTGCGGAGCTAGTCGGGTCGGTTTATCCGGGGCACGTTCATCGCTTTACGGACGGATCTCGGTCGCGGACTCGGGGTGGCAGGACCGAACACTGCAACGAGACAAAGTCTACCGGAGGAGTGTTCCGTCTTTTCCGCTGAAGCCGCCGCTATTCTAGACCGATAGCGGCCTTAACCGATCCTCGTGTTAACTGACTCACGCAGCGTCATCCAAGCACTGGAAGCCGAAACCCCGAGCCACCCCTGGATACAAGCCGTTACACGGTACGCATCACCTTCAACCGCCTTTACGTGGATCCCCGGACACTGCGGTGTTCCCGGAAACGAGGCAGCGGGCAGACTGGCGGGATCTGGTGCATCCCGTCCCCGCTACACCAGGAACTTACCCCTCCTAGACGTCAGGCGTTGGATTGTGAATACTATTATGGAAGCCAGGCAGCAGGAATGGTTCCAGCCGCGGACCACTTTCCTGAGGAAGATCCAGGAAACCGTACGCTCCTGGCTGGACAGCCAAAAGTACAAGGACCAGCGGATCATCTCAAGACTCCGGACCGGCCATGCGAGGATTTCCTGTAATTTCGGTGGGACACTTTTCCACAAGGTTTGTTAAATTTGCAGCATCCCCGCCTCGGTGGAGAAGAAACTACGCGAACAACATGGACTCTCGGAGAACGTCAGTAATCTGCTTGGTTACGACCCCTCGACGTTGGCTGCGCTGATCGCCTTTCTGAAGGACGCCCACTTGCATGATCAAATCTAGCTCCCCGTCGGCGGCTGCACTGATCGTGTTTTCCGCACCTTCATATTTTTTCTGCCGTCGGGGTTTCTCCGCCGGACCGGGCACTGTCTGTTACGGTGGAGCTCTACCTTGTTCGCACACCTAGTCCTCACCCCAGCCCCGATGTAATCCTCACTTTACATTAAGTTTTTAAAATGTTGTCTGTCTCATTCGTTGGGTAATCAGAGCCAGTTATACGTCACGTTAATGTTAAATTGAAACCTATTTTTTTAGGCAGGATCTAGCCTGTCCATCTGCTGTATAACGTGATAAACTAGCCTACGGCTAAAAATCACGGTAATAAAGAGAAAAATCTGAGGAGAGCTCCAATTAAATATCGATAATAATTTCAAAAGCATTTAATATAATGTAGAACAATCTTAGCAGAAATTCAAGCTAGCTTGAAGATAGTTTCATGGAATTCCTCCGGCGCGGTCCCAAGAGAAAATTTTGAACATTTTTTCGAAAAAATTTGAAGTAACGTTCCAGGAGATTCTGACAAAACTTTAAATTCTAAGTAGAGTCTCAAGAAAATTCCATGAAAATTCCAAAAGATTCTCTCACCGTCATTTTGAGAAGAAATTCAAATGAACTTTCAGGAAAATTTCCAAACAATTTTTAGATGAAATCCAAAGAAATTTAGAAGAATATTTTCAAAGTTCTAAATGACATACCAACAGATTTCAGAGGAATATTTTAAGAAAAACTATGGATAAAAATGCAAACAAATTCTGATGAGAAATATAAAGAATAAAAAGATAAATGTAGAATGAAGTTCTAGAGCATTCTGGAGAAAACTCCTAAAGTGTTCTGCACAGAATGCACAGAATTTTAAATCCGTTATGGAGAAACTTTCTATGAAACACACGAGAGAATCATAAAATTATCAAGGGGAATCCTGAAAATAACACTCATGGTAAGGTTCACGATTCAAACCTCCGGGCAAGTCACGAATGACCCAACATGTATAAAAGTAACTAGGGGAAATGGATGTAATGTTGGCATAAATGCCCCTAATTTGGGCCCATACATAAATTCAGCAATCGACTAAATTTTCAATAGCGACCAAAAATATCCATTAGTACCATCCCAATGACGCGTTCATCTAGCTAAAATTGATAAATAGCAGATTTTCAGCGATGGGCCCAATTTTAGAACCATAGGCCAACATTAGAGCCATTTACCCTATAATACAAAAAAAATTGAAAATGTTTTGAAATTATCCTAAGGAAATCTTTAAAAAAATTCCAAAGGTATTTTTTTTTTTTTTTTTTTTTTAACGTCGGTCTCTGTTCCGCAATCTAGTGCCAATCACCGACGGACATCGATTGCCATCCAATGACGGCAATCGAATGTGCAAGGAAGGCAGCTTCCACACCTGCGTAGGATATCGCACCCATTCAATACACATGGGCCGGGACCAACGGCTTTACTTCCCTTCCGAAGGAAGACGTGACCAGATTTTTATGCCTCAGAAAAATCCCACCGACCTCGGCTGGGATTGAACCCAGACCCATCGGGGTGTTAGAAAGCAGTCACGCTTACCACTACACCACCGGCGCCGGCATCCAAAGGTATGCTGAGATAAGTTCCAAAGATGTAATTTAGTTATTTCAGGCACATTCAAGTCCAAAATCAGGATTTTTGTCAAGATTCAGAGATTTTGATTAGTAAAAATTTTAAGATTCTGCGACATAAAAAATATTCAAATTATAAAGTTAACAAAAAAATATGATTGTAATCAAGAATTGCAAAACTTCACGTATTCATTGCTTAGAAATTGCTGAGCATTTTCACTGGAATCATTTAAGAAAATCTTGGACGATCTTGGACTTGTCAAATTTCCGAAACTCGGGGACATTACCATTTATTTTACATCTCAGACTTCCTTTTTTGTATTTCAAGGAATCAATCAAGCAAGTTTGAGGAAATATTCTAGATATCAGACATTGAATTTTGAATATTTTAACGTCGGTCTCTGTTCCGCAATCTAAAGGGTGATACGGTCAAAATTTGGTCAAGGGAAAACGCGTGTAAATCGGTGAAATCGTTTATTTAAAAAATCAAATTAAATTTCTTTTTCAAGTTCAATTAGTATAAAATTCAGGAAAAATATTCAGTTAGGCTTCCGCTTTTCCAAATCCGAATTGCCGGGCCTTACGCTTGACCCCTGCCATCAGATTTTGTACAGCCACCTTGTCCACCTTCTTCGCCGCAGAAAGCCAGTTTGCCTTGAACTGCTGCTCGCCCTTAGCAGTTTTTTGGTCTTCTTTAGGTTCCGCTTGACAATAGCCCAGTATTTCTCAATTGGGCGGAGCTCTGGCGTGTTGGGAGGGTTCTTGTCCTTGGGAACCACCTGCACGTTGTTGGCGGCGTACCACTCCATGGCCTTTTTACCGTAATGGCAAGATGCCAAATCCGGCCAAAACAGTACGGAACAACCGTGTTTCTTCAGGAAAGGCAGCAGACGTTTATTCAAACACTCTTTCACGTAAATTTCTTGGTTGACAGTCCCGGAAGCTATGAAAATGCTGCTTTTCAAACCACAGGTACAGATGGCTTGCCAAACCAGATATTTCTTTGCGAACTTTGACAGTTTCATGTGCTTGAAAACATCTGCAACCTTTCCCCTTCCTTTTGCCGTATAAAACTCCTGTCCCGGAAGCTGCTTGTAGTCGGCTTTGACGTAGGTTTCGTCGTCCATTACCACGCAGTCAAACTTCATCAGCATCGTCGTGTACAGCCTCCGGGATCGCGCTTTGGCCGTCGTATTTTGTTTATCATCGCGATTTGGAGTCACTACCTTCTTGTAAGTCGATAGTCCGGCTCGTTTTTTGGCTCGATGCACGGTTGTAGACGATACACCCAGCTTATTTGCGGCATCTCGGAGAGAGAGGTTAGGGTTTCGCTTGAAACTACCGGCAACTCTCTTTGTCGTCTCAGCGGCTTCCGGTTTTCGATTTCCCCCGATCCAGACTTCCTGGCTGTCGACAAACGTTCCCCAAACACTTGAATTACATTTGTAACGGTTGATTTGGCAACTTTTAGCGATTTTGCCAACTTTGCGTGCGAGTAGCTCGGATTTTCGCGATGCGCGAGCAAAATTTTGATACGCTACTCTTCTTGCTTGGACGGCATTTTGACAACTGAAGAGTGAATTCCAAAATCAAAATAGGAGCAACATTCTACACACACAAACCTTCAAAATGAGGGGTGTTCAGGTTTTTTAAATGCAAAATTGAAAGAAATACGTCAAGTTGATATTGACCAAATTTTGACCGTATCATCCTTTAGTGCCAATCACCGACGGACATCGATTGCCGACAATGGATGTCATTGTGCAGGGAGGCAACTTCCATACCTGCCTATGATATCCACATGGGCCGGACCAACGGCTTTACTTCCCTTCCGAAGGAAGACGTGACCAGAGATTTTAATGCCTCAGAAAAATCCCACCGACCTTGGCTGGGATTGAACCCAGACCCATTGGGGTGAGAAAGCAGTCACGGTTACCGCTAAACCACCGTTTTGAATATAACAGAATTTAATTAAAATAGGTATTTAAAATACATGTTAAGTCTTAAATCAAATTCCCGGTTATTTCCCAGTTTTTCCTGGATGAATTCGATTTCCGGTTGGTTCCCTGTTTATCCGTTTCAGTGGCCATCCTGTAATTTTTAGCAAATTTTTAAGATAACTGACTTGAATGTCTACATTACGGAGTTGCAAAAAAATCAAAATATTAGTGATTCGATCAACACCATTAACAAAGTTCTGATCTGTTCGCAGCTCTTCTTATCAGACTTGACACGCTGAATCTTTTTTGCTATGTGATTTAATGTATTATTTTAAAAGCAAGACAGTTTTTGGTCGTAACAAAGTGACTTTAATGACTAAGAAATAGTCACTAAATTGAGTACAAAATGTGACTTTTTAGTGTCTGACTGGAAAATAGTGAACTGGTGAACTAAAAAGTGACCTGCTACCAGTCCTGGTGATTTGAAAATGCCGAATTATCTGAACTGCACAATATTTTAAGATGCAATATTTGCCTAGCGAATTGAGTAGGGCCATGTATTAAAAGCAACGATGGTCGACAAACTTCGTTTCTTAATTGCTGATTTCATATTTCAAAAGCGTGGTCAACCAGCCCACGGCTGAAATTCACTTTAATAAAGTTTACAAACCTACAATGAAGCTTTTTGACATTTACCTTTCACCAGCCATCGCCAGCCAAACAGTTAGGAATAGTCGGTAGAGCATTGCAAATACCTGAAACACAAAATAAGACAAGAGAAGGAATGCTGTTCGATTCACTCCACTTATAATTTCATATGAAATCTATCCATTCATTGTCTCTCTTTTTTCTTCTCAGACAAGAGAAGATGATCTCCGGCATGTACATGGGCGAGCTGGCTCGCCTTGCCATCGTCAAATTCACCCGAGCCGGTCTTCTCTTCGGTGGCGTCGGGTCCGATATCCTGTTCAAACGTGGCCAGTTCTTCACCAAGTACGTGTCTGAAATCGAATCGGACAAACCGGGCACCTACATGTACTGCCGCGACGTGTTGGACGAGTTGGGTCTGGAGCATGCGACCGACGAGGACTGTGCGAACGTACGCTACATCTGCGAGTGCGTGTCGAGCCGAGCCGCCCATCTTGTGTCCGCCGGTATTGCAGCCCTCATCAACAAGATGGACGAGAAGAGTGTTACCGTAAGTCCCTAAACCGATTGATTAGAAGACCTAAAACTGAACCTACTTTTCCCCGTTCCCCTTCCAGGTCGGCGTTGACGGTTCGGTGTACCGCTTCCACCCGAAATTCCACGATCTGATGAAGGCCAAGATCAGACAGTTTGTGAAGTCGGACATTAGCTTCGACTTAATGCTGTCAGAGGATGGTTCTGGCCGTGGTGCGGCACTGGTTGCCGCTGTGGCGTGTAGAGAAGCCCTCTAAGCAGTACTGCAGTTTCTTAAAGCCACAACCTCCCCTTCCCCTACCCTCATCAACTAGATACACAACTACTAAACTAGTGATTTAGAGAATAATTATTAGAACAAGCCCACACAAATACACACACACACACACACACACACACATACACTGAGAGAGATAGAAAAAGAAACATACAAGAGAAATAAAAAAACAGTTCAAGAGAGGAATGCAAATATAACATAATTAATCGTAATAGTGAAACAAATGTTTTAAAAGTAATCAGCATGCAAACGAAAAGAACAGATTCAAGGGTTTTGAAATTGCAGGAACGATTAGCGGAAGGCAAATTGAGGATTAATTATTATTACAAAAATAAATTAAAATTGCAAGAAAAAAAAACAAAATGTGAATGCAAAAGCAACAATGTTTACACTGACAACTGAGTTTAGCTGTACATTAATTAGTTTTAAAATTTTAAATATAGTAAACAATTATACCTACATAGGCAAAACGAAATTGACACGGCGTTTGGACTACGGTAATCCAAATCAAATCTGAATCCCCTTTAGGTTAACTCTTTGGTTCGAATCAACACTGGTAAAAAGGTTGAGAAAATTTGGCTTTCGAATTTCTCGTTGTGACTTTCTATTGTAAATAGGTATAGTCTTTTATCAAAATTTACAGGAATCTTAAAAGGCCTCCTTCTTGACGCAGCCCCTAAAAGGCAAAAGAATCAGTACGTATCACCGATTGATTTCAGGATTAGCAAAAATCTTTTCCTATTATTTGTTTTGGTTTCGTTTTCGTTTAAGGTTCTGTTTTATTTCTGGTACATAGAGAACACGAGAAATGCTGTTTATTTATAGAGTTCAGATATTATCCACTGCACTGAAATAGACAAGAACGACATCATCTATTTTTTGTTGATTATGTTTTGGGCTGTTCCCTTGGGAACCGGACCCGGAATGATGTCCAATCCGTTAGAACTTTACGTTTTAGTTATTATTTTTATAAGATGGTTTTGCTAGACGAGTCAATCATAAGCAAAAAGTCAAAAATACAAAAATGCGATTATGCTTGTGAATGAGGATAGAAATTGACTTTGGCAGAAAGATTACTTTGAAAAAAAAAAACAAAACAAATGTAATAAATAAAATTATATGAAACAACAATAAACAAAGTAAGAAAACGAAACAATAGCAAAGTGTACATTATTAAAGTAAAGAAAAGAAGGAAAAGATTATGAAATGAGCTAATTGTAATTTAAATTATAAACAAGAAGTAATTTAAAGAAGAAATAATTATAATACTGTTGACAGTGAAAAAATTGAAAATAAAGAAATGCTATTGATCTAGTAGATTACACATCCAGATGTTTTATTAAAATTAGTGTTTCTGTCAACTTGTTTAACTTTGGGTGGCCCATTTTTATCTAAAAATCAAATCTCACCAGAGAACAAGATATGATTTTCTTAGACAAAAATCAGCAAGCAAACGACTGCGGTTGATATTGCAAGCTGTGATTTCGCAGCTCCAAATATCAAACTAACAAAATTCACCAGCTGCAAATCTCTCCAAACTGTGGTGAGATTGAGTTTCATGATTGTTGTTTTACACCCGAATGCAATAGAAAATTCCAGAGCGACTGGCAGCAGTAGCTTCGCGTCTGCCATCGGTGAGAGCCAAAGAGCTACGTGATATTATCAAAGGTCTGAAAAATAAGAAAGCAACATCCGTAACTCTCTTATAAAACGTCTTCCTTATAAAGACTGACCCACATATTTAATGCATGTCTGTGACTTGCGTGCTTCCCGAACTGCTGGAAGTACGCAATTCAAAAAAGGTCATTCTACGAACCACCAACTGGTGCATTTTGTTCTAACAGTGAACGACAGATGTGGAGAAAACATACGACAGTGTTTGGCTAGAAGCTATACTCCATAAAATTTTATCCGTGGGTTTCGTTACTGAAAATTATTCTATCGTTTAAAAAAAAATCGGAGCATCTCAAATCATCGTATCGGTGTATCGGTAAACGCCTAAACACAAGCCAATTCCATTCGGTGTTCCCCAATATTCGGTACTTATAGCGGTAAGCTCCATGGAGGATAGGATACCCGATCAAAGTTCAGCATCAAAATGACAGCAAATCGAAATCATGTTTTGATATCAGCATCAAACCACCGACAAACCGACATGACACTTAATTCTGACTTATGCCCTAAACTGACTTAAGTGATCTGAACTGTCAAAACCATAGGATTTTCTGAACTAGATAAAAATAATTTGTCCATTTTGATATATTTCATTTCTCCACTACATATATTTGATTATATAAATAAATACTGGATTGGGAGGGAGCATCAGGGTATCATTTGACCTGGGACTGCACGATGGAGTGGTATGACAACCGGAGTCTCATTTTCTTTATCCTACCGATTTGATTGTGGTGGAGTGAATTCTACTTCAACAGTTTCAGTGTGATTGACGCGCCCTTCTTTACAAACCATCCTGTAGGAAGCTTAATAAGTATTGCGAATTGTGTTATTAGATTTGTTGGATCGTGTCGTTGGAAGGAGATTCTTAAATTCCCGTGGATTTCGTGTAAGTGTCTCTGCTTACGGGTCCACCCCTCCGTTTTTGGCCCTTCATACAGCGATGTTGTGAATTCAGATCGGTAGCTCAAATTGATCTTGCTATTAAGTGGAGCTGCATACAAGACAAGATCTTTGAAGGGATAGTGGCTACCTTACATACATAGATAAAAATAATTTGTCCATAATAGATCAGACACGAACCAATCCATAACTTTTGCATGCGGGTTCATGGCTTAGCTAAATTCAGGGCTGGTAGCGATCAATGCTGTCAAAAATAGTGATTTTAGTGACTATGTTGAAGAAATAAGTGACCAAATAGTGACTTATAGTTGTAAAAAAGTGACTAAAAAGTGGCCAAAGGGAAGAAAATTACCAAATAAATGGTTGATGTTTTAGACTCATTCAATTAGAATCTCATATGTACGATAGGAACCTTTAAAGCGAATGATTCAATAGAAAGTGCATGACTAAACCTGAAAAACCGGAAATTCCAAAGGAAATCGATTTCTCCTGAAAATACCTGGAAATCTCAGGGAATCTTATCATTACTCAGGATTTGTTTTTTTATAATTTTCTACTAAAGATATTCCAAAGAAAGAAAGCATTTTAAAATAAAAAAGTTGGAAGGGTTGTATACTAGATACGACCGCAGGGTTGCCGTTGGATAACGTCTGTTATGTGTTGTACTTAATTATGTATATTATATTTTAGGAATATTCCTTAATAACTCTTTTGCGAAAGTTTGGTGGCCCTGAAAAGGGCCGTTTTGTTGGGCTGATGTTGTTACTTTTAACCATTTTTCAATAGTTTACAGAATGAAATCAATAGTTTTGAAACATTCAGCAAATTGCTAGAAATATTTCCAATCGATTGATGCCATTATCTCGTAAATCTATCGAGAGACGGTTGAGTTATTATCGTTCAAAATCTTTTAATTTTTCGTAACGCATCCAAAATGACTGTTTTCAATTTTGTACCCCCGTATGTTGCCGAAAGACGTTATCCAACGTCAAAAAAAAACAATATTCCTAGTTTATTTTCATTCACACATTGAACTTTATGTAGTCCCTTCATGATAAAAATATCAAGTGCAATTTGCTTTCATGGTAGTTCTAAAGAATTTTAGATTCCATGTGAAGCCTGAGATAGTTTTGAATAGAATTTCAAGAAAACCCGGAATGGAATTCAAAGTAAATTTTAATGAAAATCAATATGAATTTCTCCTTCTCTGAACTTCAGAGGAAAATTCCAAGGGCATTCTGAGGATAATTACAAGAAGTTTGTGAAAGACAACGAAATCAGAGCATACGTTCTCGTATTTTTTTTTGTGAATACTTAGGTGGTGAAGGGGATGCTAAAAGGAAGATTACAATTAAATCTGCGAAAAACTCCACAAGATCTTCAAAGAAATTTGGAAAATAATTCCAGGAGAGATTGCCGAAAAAATTAAGGGGAGAAATCTAAAGAATTTATATGAGACTTTCAATGTGAGTAGAATTCCAAGGGAAAGAGTGAGATTCAATAGTAAATCTGAAATTAATTCAATGAAAAATCTGAGAATTTTTCCATAAGATTTCTTATTAAGGAGAATTTCAAGGTAATTCCTAGAAAAATTAAAAGAAAATTGAATTCGGTGGATAGTTTCAACGACATTTTGAGGAATATTTCAATGGAATTGCGGTAAGTATTCTAACTATATTCTTGTGATATTTTTTTTTGAGAATTCAGAGAAGCGTTCCAAGTGAATTCGGATGAATTCGAGCGTAACATCAGGAGAACTTCAATCGAATTTTCATGAGAAATCTCCGACTTTCCTGTGGAAATCTCGAGATCTGTTTCACCACTCTTGCCAGTTGATCTTCATCATCCGCCACTAGTCGTCTGCTTACCATCTCTAGTTGATGACGGTGCACTGCTGCTGAATGTGAGTGATGAGCTTGCGTTAGACTATAGCAAGATTGATTTCGATGTTCTAATGGACTTCCTTTCCGTCACTGACTGGGATCTTCTTTTCGATGGACTGAATGCTGATGAAATGGCTGAAACGTTGTGTGCTGTGCTAAATAATTGGATGGATACAAACGTACCGATTCGTCGGCCTGCTGTTTCTCCTGCGTGGAGCACCGCTTTGCTACGAAAACTAAAACGAAAAAGAAATGCTTCGCAACGTAGACTTCGGCGATACCGTTCCCTGGCAAATAAGCGTAGTTTTTACTTGGCGTGTAACGAGTACTGTAATCTAAACTCTTTGCTCTACAAATCGTACGTTTTACGAGTGCAAACTAATTTAAGGCGAAACCCCAAGAGCTTTTGGAGCTATGTAAACTCGAAGAGGAAAAATTCAACAATGCCTGCAAGCGTTTTTTTTTTCAATGACGTTGAATCGTCGATAGGCGGGGAGAAATGTGAGCTTTTTGCTGCTCATTTTTCGTCGGTTTTTGCCGCAGAATCCATCACCTCGACTGAACTTGTCTCGGCTGTTTCGGATGTGCCTTCAAACCTTGTTGACATAAACACTTTTGAAATAACGCCCGTTATGGTAACTAATGCCGCCAAGAAAATGAAATGTACCTTCTCGCCTGGACCAGATGGCATTCCTTCTGCAGTGTATTGTCGTACCATTGGAGCGCTTGTTGAACCGCTTTGCAGAATCTTCAACAAATCTTTTGTAGAGTCGAAATTTCCTGCAATCTGGAAAGAGTCATTCATGGTTCCGGTACACAAGAAAGGAGATAAACGTGACGTTAAAAACTACAGAGGAATTACTAATCTCTCTGCAGCATCAAAACTGTTTGAGATAATTGTGAGTGGTTTCATTCTTGAGCACACCAAATGCTATATCTCTAGTGACCAACATGGCTTCATGCCTGGACGATCGGTTACCACAAATCTTCTAGATTTTACCACGACATGTGTTGAGCAACTGGAAAATGGGGCACAAATAGACGTCATCTACACTGATCTAAAAGCAGCGTTTGATACGATCAACCATGACATTATGTTGGCAAAGCAATCCAAACTCGGTGCGTCGGACCGTTTGACTTCGTGGTTGTGCTCCTACTTGACTGACAGGTCTCTGCGAGTGAAACTCGATTCCAGTACTTCCTCGTATGTCACGAACTCGTCAGGTGTACCACAGGGTAGCAATCTTGGCCCGTTGCTGTTTGTGTTGTACATCAACGACGCACTTCTTCTACTTGGAGATGGCTGTAAGCTTGCGTATGCCGATGACCTAAAGCTGTCCTAAATGTATGGTAATGTCGTATTACCGCATCAGGCAGCCGATTGTTTTTGACTATGCCATCAACGGTGTGGTTCTTCAAAGAACCGACCAGTTCAGCGATCTTGGTGTTCTACTGGACCATAAGTTGACGTTCAACCTCCACCGCTCTGCTCTGATCACAAAGGCGAATCGCCAGCTAGGTTTTGTGTCGAAAATATCGAAGGACTTCATTGACCCACACTGCCTGAAAGCTCTCTATTGCTCACTTGTGCGACCGATCCTGGAAAATGCCTCCTTGGTCTGGTTTCCTCATCAGTTGACT